TTGGAAGGACAGAAGATTAGATAGAATTAAACCATGCTGTATGTCTATTTGTGTATACTTAATATTTGTGAACTGGAACCTTATTCAAGACAACATAACAGTTGGACCACAGAACTGCTTGCTAAGAATGTGCCATAGCCCCGCTCCTGTTTCCAAAATCACTTATTTGTTGGTTCTCAGACTGACTGAGGTTAAAGAATGTGTGTGAGTTGCTGGTCCAGGAGATGAAGGATGAAGTGATCTCCTCACCTAAAATATTGAGAGGATCAGAGATGTCCAAGGGCTGTTGAGTATTCAGTGTCTTGGGAAAAGCAAAGGTGTCTCTGTTCTTCATGAGGAGATGTAATGAGAATTTTGGTTTCTTTTAAAACCCAGCTATGTTATGTGAATCTGTTTTTGTTTTAATCCCAGGTGTGGGATAAGAGGCTGCTTCACAGCAGGTGATTATGATTTGCCTCTCATGCACTAGCAGGGGCATGATTTTTGCCAGCTGCAAATAGTTTAATTCTGGGAACTCTGGAGAGGGAATAAATGGGAGAGCTCCAGGAGGGCCTGTGGCAGCTGCTCTTGGTTCCTGTTGCTGCCGTTTGTCAAGTGCTGGTGAGCAAAGAGACAAGGAGCTGGAGCTATCCTGGACTTGCCCCAAGGAACTCAGTGCCCCTAATCAGCAGGAAGTAGTCTACTTTGTTGACTGGAAGAGGTCTATGCCCCCTTTACTCTCTAACCTTCTTTCTCTCCTACCTAGTGTTGGGGGGTTGGAACAGATTAAGGTGGAATAAGGGTTGGAAGGGCAGTAGAGGTATAAGGACCCAATAAAATAGTAAAAACAAGCAAAAATACAACAAAAACCATCAACAAGGAGACATCTGGAAACAAAGGGCACTTGGAATACAGTTGCCAAGCATATCTGCCCAGCCTATTGTAAGCCAAAGTCTCAATTCTGCTGTCCCAGTCTCCTAATTAAGCTGCTCTTCTCCGGTCAGGTAAACACACACTACTGAAGCCAGGAGGGGGTGCGGCAGTCCTTTAAACTTCCAGAAGCATGAAATTAAGCTGTATCTTTCTAATAAGAGGTGTTGAGATCACAGGAAGTTAATTTTAGATGACAACCATTCATCTCTCCTAAATATAATGAATGAATCATAGTCATGGTTCACATTTGTTGTGTATGTACCACATGCAGGCACCGTTGCCTATGCTTTAAATGTATAACTCATTTAACCCTTATCAATTACTTTAATCCTTGTTTAGTAGGTACTACTTACTTCCCCATTTTATAGATGGGCAACTAATATTATGAAAAGCCTACTTATCAGAAACAACCCAGTGAATGGCAGATCTGTAATTCAAAATAATGTGTCTTTTTTAAAAAAAAAAATTGTTGGCTCTTTGTGAATTCCATATCATGCACTCCACTCCCACTTATCTCTCCATTCTGTCATACTCACCCTCCACCCTTGCAACCTCCCCAGAAAAGAAAAAAGCAAATCTCATTATGGAAGCTATAGTGTGTCACAGTATGTCCCACAGTATTCCCTTTTGTCCACACTTCTTTGCTTGCAAATGTTCATTGCAGTGAGTCCTTGGTCTGGTTTGAGGCCTCTGGCTTCTGCTACTCTATCAGGACTGGAACCTCACTGGGACTCCTCTTGGATAACCTGTTGTTGCCCTGTGTCATGGAGATCCTGTGGTATTGGATCTGTAGGACCAGCCTCTTCATGCACTCCACCAGTTCATTGATGAAGTAGATTTTGAGGTGGGCCAATTCAAAGCCCTGGATCTGGGCCTGGGAAGTATCTGCTACCTCCCCTGTACCCACACACCAAGACAAGCTCTCCAGCCCAGCTCAAGCTAGCTCATCCAACATTGCAGCCAGCAAGGGGCAGAGCCAGCTCTCCCACAATCCCTCCCTCTGGGAGGCTCACCGGTGCACTCCCCCTCCCTCATCACCAGGGTTAGCTCTACTGAGCTGCCCAGGCAAGATACAGGACCTGCTCTCACATGCCGCAGCTGGTGAGAAGCAGGGGACAGCTCTCCTGCTCTCATGACCTCAGGACCAGTTCTTCTGCCTGCTGCAGGTGGCAAAAGGTGGGGGGGGGGGAGTGCATTTCTCTCTGGTCCATGACACTGCAAGGGAGATAGAGGCAGGGCCAGTTCCCCACACTGTACATTCCTCAGACATCAACATGGACCCCTGGGGGACAGCCCAGAACAGGGACATCTGCCTGGTGTTTGGTGATAACAGAGCCCTGCTGCTGCAGGGCCACTGATCCAGGCATGGCCCTTAATGGCAGCACAGGCCAGGACCTCGCCATGGCCTTAGGTAGCATCATCACCAGCTACTCACATCAGGCTGTTCCCCACTACCCTCTAATCTCCAGATCTGCCCCTATCCTTCTATCTCTTTGTCTTCCATTTCTCCAGTACTCGTTCCTTTTAGTGGTGTCCAGGGCCTCTGGGTGTCAGGGGTCATCTCAGGAGTGGTATCAGGAGTGCTATGCCCTGCCCTTGCAGTGTGGCCCCTGGCTGGGCTCATCTTAGGCTTGGTCTGCCCACTTGGGCCTGAGTCATACCAGTCTAGTGATTGCCTCAGGGTAGCTCCCTGTCCATGCCCCCATGGTACTGGGCTGTTGGTCATTTCCAGCTTATTCCCCACCTGGCTGGCAGGGCCCCAGGTGAGCGTCATTCCATCTCTGAATCTTCATGTATCTTTTAAAATAAATTTTATTACATTCATGTATTTTGTGTATGTGTGTAGGGATATGTATGCCTCAGTGTGCATGTGGTGGTTAGCTTCTGAGAGTTGGTGCTCTCCTTCTACCATGCGGGTCCTGGAGATCAAACTCTGATGTCAGACTTGGCAGCAAGAATGTTTACATACAGTCATGTTGCTGGCCCCAAGTACATTTATCTTACTCCCTATGTTCTAGTGTATGAAATAAACTGAATGATATAAAAGGCAAATGTCACTTTCTATAAAATGATATATCAAGGCCAGCAATGACACATCTTCATGCCTGAGTGCAAATTTCCCTACAATTTAAATCCTCCTGGGGCCTTAACCACCTGCCTTTCATCACAGAGGTCAAGTGGAGATCAAGACAGATCCATCTGACATGAGCCTTCTGTGATATGTCCAGCTCCAAACAAGTAACTAATTTCAGCTACTATGAGGGCTGTATAGCAATGTCAAACAGCCCTTCTGTTAGAGCTGAGAGTAAGCTTCACTACAAGGTCTTACAGTACAGTCTTACCTGGGTAATGATAGAAAATGAATAGGGCAGAATGATGCCATGAGAGAATACACTTTCTTCAGGTTTTTCTTCTTGCAATCAAACAAGTAGCCTCTGACTGCAGCCTGGGTGGATTCTCCAAGCTGTGGCATCACTGTTGCCATGGAAATGGGAAGGGTTGTGCTCACCACATGCCCCAATCAAGAGGCTAACACTGTACTGCCCCCATTTGCTGAAGAAATGACATTAAAAAAAAAAAAAGACCCACTAACATCTCATGAAGAGCCACTAGAGTTTGCAAAAAAGAAAGAATTGAAATTGGGACTCTTCCTTCAGAGAAGGCAAGTGTTTTTGAAAGAGGGAGGAAACTTGGTATGATAGCACACACATTTAATCCCAGCATTGGGGACACAGAAGCAGGTGGGTCTCTGAGTTTGAGGCCAGCCTGGTCTACAGAGCAGATTTCAAGATAGCCAGGACTAGAAAAAGAAAATTTTAAAAAAGCCCCCCCCCAAAAAAAACAAAGAGGACTAGAGAGAGCCAACATGGGGAGACTGAATGCCCTGGCACATCCTTTAAAGCACATAAAATTCTCATCTAGATTTCTACTCCTGTTTCTTTCATATCTTCCATTTCCCAAAGATTAGCAGCTCTCTGTGATGTCAGGAAGAATGGTGTCATTAGTTAAATTAAATGTGAGAGTCTGTGGTATCAACCCTCCGAGGTCTTAGCATTTCAGAAAGAAAATGAGGAGTTTAATTGTGTTGGATTCTAGTCAAGGTTGTAGTGTGTTAGACCATAAAGTCCCACAACAGAGGCCTGAGAGCAAGCGCCATGTTCCTGGACACTACTGTTTTAGGGACTTTATTACACCACTCACCGTGTTGATTTGGGTTGCATCATATCATCTACAGAGCACATGGATGGATACTGGTAGTTTCTGTCTGTGGGTTTCAGTTTGGAGAATGTGATGAGGACAGTCAGTTTTTAGTTAACATTTTCTGTAGCTGTACAAATCAGTATAGAACATCATTTTGATGCTGTAGGCCAGGAACCCAGATGTGGCATGGAAAGGACTATTGATGTTCGCTCCTCTGTGTCTCAGACCTGAGATAGTCTGCGCTGGTGGTAGAACAGTCTACTAAGCATTTCTTAATTCCCATGGTAGTGCCATGCGGGGAAGACTGAAGGACCAGCTCAACTCAGGCTGTCACAAAACATCAACCAAATGCCTGCCCAGGTGCGGCTTTGCCCTCATGGTGACTTCAGAATAATTAGACTTCTTACATGGAGAGTTTAAGAGATCAAGAGTTCTCCGAGAGAAGATGGTGCTTTATGAGAGGACAGTGTGGCTTGCAGGTTGGAGGGCACTGCTTTTGTCACTCTATCAAAGAAGCCAGAGTCTGTCCTGACTCAAAGGGACATGACAGAGCTCACATTTCACCATCTAAATGTGTCCCCCAAATTTTGTATCTTGGAACAAAACATGCCATATGCTAGTATTAAGGTGTGGCATTTTAGGTGGTTAAGTCATGAGGCCCCTGTCCTATGGAATGGGATCGGCCTTTATAAAAGGGCTTTATGAAGTTTTATACTCTTCCACTTCATGGGGACATGATTATTGTTACCTCTTGAGGGTGCAGCAACAAAACTCCATCTTGGAAGCATAGGCAAGTCCTTCACCAGATACAAAGCTAAGAGTGTCTTCACTTTGGACTTTCCAGCTAGAACTGTGAGAAACAAAGATGTTCTTCATAAAAATTAGTCATGGGAGAGTCCAGGAAGCGCTTCCTTGGCCGGGCTGTGAGGAATAGCTTGCCGGTGCCCCGGGACTTGCAGCTGCCCCCGACCAAGCGAGACCAGCCGGCTTTCAGAGAACAAAGAAAACAAAAACTCAAGGAATATCTATTAATACGAAAAACAATGTTTCCATACAAACAAGAAAATCAGATATCCAGAGATCAGAAAGTGATGACATTTGAGGATCAGGTCCAAGAAGGGAAAAAAGTTGTGAAACTCAAAACAGAAGTGGCTGATAAAGAAAATATTGGAAGTACAGTTGAAACAAACTGCCTTCCATTAAAAGCTGGAGAAGTAGCCAGCTCAGAAAGACATAACCTGAAGGCTAATATTCAAGCGGTGCAGTTATTATCAACGAAAGATGACTCCTCAGGTCAGACTGTGACAGACCAGGCATGTCACCATAAAGACAATAAAAAGATGCAGATGACTGAAGAGAAGCCCAAACAAGACACTAACATGTCTAAAAAACGAGTGCTTGGCTATTATCATGGCCAGATTGTTCAGTCTAAGATTAATTCATTTAGAAAGCTTCCCAGTGTCAAAGGCGAGAGTCTTGCCACAACCAAGAAACTTCCCACTGCTGTGTCTAAAGCCACGAAGGCTCAGTGTGAGCCTGCGAACGCCATCAGTGTAAGAGCCTCAAACACAACTGCTGCCACCAACTCTGCAGACACTAAATCTGTGAGCACCTCATGGAAGAGCACACTTGTGCAGCCACCTATCCAAAGCCTCCACAGTAGTACCCACGGCGCTGCGAAACAAGGCCTCAGCAGGCCCCTTGCCAATGTTACAGTCAGAAAAGGAGTGCTTGAAAACGAATCACATCGATCAGAACCAGTTGTGTCTGTCGTCAAAACCAATTCTTCTCAGGACACAAAAAGAGACAAGGCCCCTTCAAGAAGCATAATATCTAAAGATGTAACCTGGAGTAACTCGTCTAGTGCCAGACTGATAGTAAAGTCAAAAGACACTGACCAGCGCAGATACACGATCGCAGGAGGGGCAACTGTTCACAGACCAGCTCAGCTCAAAGACCCCGCAGCAGACAGGAAAGCTCAGAAGACCGAGTGGAGAACTGGTAAAGGAAAGGGGCTAAAAAGACCTCCTCATTCAGTGGTCACCCAGGCTGAGCCGAAAGGGCGAAATGAAAACCCAGTTGGGTCCTTTTGGTCTACCATGGCAGAAGAAGATGAACAGAGATTATTTACTGAAAAAGTAAACAAAACAATTTCTGAATGCCTGAACCTCATTAATAAGGGGTGCCCAAAAGAAGAAGTTTTAGCTACATTGAATGACCTGATTCATAATATTCCAGATGCCAAAAAACTTGTTAAATATTGGATATGTCTTGTACGTATTGAACCAGTCACAAGTCCTATTGAAAATATTATCTCAATCTATGAGAAGGCCATTCTGGCAGGGGCTCAGCCTATTGAAGAGATGCGACATATAATCATAGATATTCTGACAACGAAGAATCAAGAAAAAGTCAATCTGGGAGAAAATATTGAGGAGGCTCATGCAACCAAGGAGCATATCCAAGAAGGAAATGTTGAAGGATCAGGAGGGTCAGGAAAGCCAGAAGAGGAGAATGAACATCAAGGAAAAGTTGAGGTTTGTGAAGACGATCAAGACATCAAAACAAAAGATCCAACCAATGATTTAACAACCCCAGACTCAAAACCTGAAGCAGGCTGCCTGATTCGATATAATATATCTTCTACACCACGGTTGCAAAGTATTAAAAAGATGCAACATGATAAAAATTCTACATTTAAAGAGCTAAAGTTTCTGACACCAGTGAGACGCTCACGACGCATTCAAGACAAGACTTTACAACTGCCAGCCATGTTAAAAGACCACGACCCTTCTGTGTCCTCCCTGGAGCAGCTGTCTGAGTTGGGAGGGGATGCTTTTGTTTGCCGCCCTAATGCAGCACTGTGCCCTCTGTTCTTGGAGACGGCCGGAGCCAAAGAGGAATAGCACTCCTGAGTCCTGAGCGAGGCCGTGCGTGTGGACAACTTTATAGTAGGTTTGAAGTTGTCCACATGCCTAAGTGTGATACAGGGTGTGATACAGGGGAACGTCATTAGATTGTTTATTGTGCTTTTAAAATATAACGTTAGCTGCTTCCCTTTACTAGTTACTGAAATTAGTAAAAGAAGCATAATCAGAAAATGTAGTCTGTATAAACTTATATTTTTACATTGACTTTGTTTCTGATATGTTTATAATAAATATATGTATGATATTCCATGACATTTCAAAAAAAAATTAGTCATGGGCTTGGTTACAGAATCCAAACCTAAGGACATATAAATGATTTCTGGTCATATATAAAGCAGCCATAATGAGTTGCTTTTCAGAAACCGGGTCCACTTCTGCCACATGTTTATTTCCCATGAAAATTTTCCAGGTATCCATGTAGATGTTGCTCTGGATATATTCAAATTTACTTAAACACTAGAGTACCTAAGACTCAGTGAAAAGCTTGTAAACACACACACACACACATACACCCCTTTGCTCACACATATCTTTCCCTGATCTAGAGACTATCAATCCATCCTCTATGCCCAACTCAGTCTTATGTTTATTATTAGGGTTTTCTTTACTGTGTGTGGTGTGCATGTGTGTGTGCATAAGAAATATATATATATATATATATATATATATATATATATATATTTGTAAATATGAGTATGTGACAAATATGTGGATGCATGTACCTGTCATGTATGTGGAGGGTCAGGTTGACAGGCATCTTGAACTTCGCTTCACCTTATTCATTGAGGCAGGTCTCCCAGTTGAACCCAAACCTTGCCAATACAGCTAGACTAGCTCACAAGCTTGCCCTGGTGACCCACTCTCTTCTAAGCCTTGTAATTATAAGCAGGCTGTCATACTCACCAGCATTTTTTGTGGGTGCCAGGAATCCAAACTCTAGCTCTTCAGTGGTACACACACACACACACACAAGTAAAACACTCATATACATAAAGGTATTTTGTTTTAAAAAGTCTCACAGACATTTCTACCAATGAATCTGATGGAAGCATTTTCTCAGTTGAGGTTTGTTCTTCCTAGATGACTCAAGCTTGTGTCAAGTTTACAGAAATCTAGCCATCACACCAGGCAATGTCTCTCAGGGTCAGATTCCTGGCATAGAGGTCCCAAGAGACCTTGCATAGAACTGTGAAAGTGAAGTCTTAGTTACAGTAGAAGACCAGGATGTTGGAGATGATGGACCAGGGGATATCTGCAGAAGAAAGCTTCAGGAACAGAGGAGGAGAAATGAAGAGAGCTAGATGAAGAGAAAGGTAATGTCCACTATAGGTGGCACAGTTGGAAAGATGGACTTCCCACTGCAATTGGAGCCTTCATGATTCCATCAAGTGACCTAGATATAGACATTCTACAGGGCTTTGTAGTGGCCCTTTAGGGTCTCAGTCTTGCTCTAATCTGGTCTTTCCTTGCAATGTCCTCATTCTTCACGATTGGAAAGGGAATGCTCAGTCTGTACCACTTCACGTTGGAAGTATATAACTTGTTTGTTCATTTAAAAATGTGTTAGACTCACAGTTGAGAGTTTGTCTGAGTCTCAGAAGATACTCTATAACTTTAACACTTAAAAATGTAAAGCTTTGTGTTAATTTTGTGTGTATAAGTGTCTGTCTATATGAATGTATATGCACCATGTGTGTGTGCCCGGTGCCTGTGGAGGTCAGAAGAGGGTGCTGGATTCTGGGATTACAGATGGTTGTGAGTCACTATATGGTTGTTGGGAATTGAACCTGGGTCTTACACAAGAACAAAAATTGTTTTTAGCTCCAGATCATTTTACATTTTTGAACTGATACTTGCATTTCTGAACAATTTGGAGTTGTTAAGATTCTGAAGACTTTTAGAGGTGAACTAAATATATTTTTCATTATGAAATGAACATAAGGTTTTGGGGACCAGGAGTGGAATGTTATCATATTAAAGTGATATATTTGGTGTCAAGTTGACAAGTGGTAGGCTTCTAGTGGTTACTCTTAATTGTTAACTAGATAGAACTTAAAATCACGTAAGAGTCAAACATCTGGACATGTCTCTGGGGACATTTCTAGAGAGGACTGATGAGAAAACAAGTGGAGCAGCAGTACTCACCTCCCTTCCTGGCTGGAGGCACAGTGTGACCAGCTGCCTCGATACTAGCATGACTTCTACACGGTGATGAACTATACCTTAAACCATGAGCCCAAATATACGCTTCTCCTTAAATGGTCCTTGTTGTGTATGCATCACAGCAACACAAAGGTAATCCAGCACTAGGGATGCTACCCACTAAGATTTTTAAGGTTGGTGTACCGTCTTTCGTGTCCTGGAACTTTGGACTCGGAACACATAGAAATGAGGATTTGCCATTGATAGAGAGTTAAATATGTGGGTCATTAGAGCTAATCCCAGGAGGAGATTACATGTGAAAGGACAATGGGCTGGTGTACTGAAAGAATAGTAGTGCTCAATCTCATTCATATCCTCAATTTCTCTCCTTCACAAAGGTTTCTCTCAGTAGGCCTGGGCAGGTAGCTCAATGGTAGAGAGGTTTCCTAGCATGCAGAAGGCCTTGGTTTGATAACAAACACTGGGTAAGAATTCAAGGTTAGTTGCATTTTCTTTGGAGAAGAAATTAATTGTTCTGGGCCCAGTCTTTAGAACAAGGCATCCCTGGCAGACTTGCCATATATAGAGAAACAAAAATGAAATAGTCAGAGAGGATTCATGCAAGCAGTGTCAAATGACCACTAGACAGATATTTGTATAACATGATAGCATTCCTGTATACTCGAAGGAATGTGAAGGAAAACAATGAGAGGAGAGGGTGTGTTGGACACATTTGTCAATATTTATGGAGAGAATGGTATTTGAAGGATGAAGACATGGAGCAAACAACTGGCTCTCATTCTGAAACTCTCTGGGTTTCCCACAATTCACACCATTCACACCAACTCAGGTATGGTGGGAAGAGGTTTGTTGTGGATAACAAAAGATGTGCCTATCATCCCTGCCACTCTGCAAATTCCAAGGTTTTAAACTAAACTCCATGCCAGGAACTAGGAACAAGTACAAAATATATATTTGTTATATCTCAGATCTGCTATGAATATTATCATTTCATGAATATTCTAGTTTATGTGCTTTGTTAGACAGGTGCATAATTCAGTTGATACATATGTGAGTGGAATTGCTACATTTTTAAAAATTACCATATTTCCAGAGGAATTTGTGATTGATTAAAATGCCACATATGCAATAAAATGTATTTTAAATTTTAGCTTGAAGCAGGGGCATTGGAGTGTGTTCTAGGCTACTGTGACCTACTTGAGATCCTATCTCACAAAAAAAAGTTTTAAAAATATAAAGTTCTTAAAATGAATGCCAACAAAAAGTTAACCATTATGCCCAAATATGGTTTATGACATTTACATCATTTTTCTCAAAAAAACCCTATTTCTAAATAGGTTTAAGAATGTGGGAATTGTCCAAGAGTAGAAGAAGGGCAAATGTTCATTTAATATTCACTTTGTTAAGTGATTTCACTTGATTTGTGACATAGATTTTCTATTCCTACTTTATGATACACTATTTTCTATTAAAACACATAACTATTTTAAAAACAAGTTACAGTTCACCTAAATAAACACTGCTATTTGTGCAGTGTCTATACAATTTCTGTGTACTTGTCATATCAAACGTGCAGTAAGGTGGAGAAATGATGTCATTCCATAACCAAGGCATGTTTAAAGAGAGAGCTATGCACATACCTGCATTATACATTGCATAAACATCCTTACTATCCCCACACAACTTAGGAATTCAAAATGTTATTAGTTTCCAGTACTTTTCACCCTGTTGTACGGATGTGGCGGCATCCTGGGCACAACAAATTCTCTGTCGTGTTCATAAAGTCACTGGCAACTCAGAAGATTCTTAAGAATAAGCACATCTTCAATCACAATTCTGAAAAGGGAGTAGGAAAGAGGACTGGCTAAGAAAATAATTACAGGTGCAAACTTTGGTTCTCAGAGATGTGAGGTGTTGGTGCCTGGATGGACACAGTGAATGTGGGTGGAATGAAGGGTATGTTCCTTTCATGCTATTACAGAATACCCAAGGCAGCATACAGTATCTTACAAAGAAGAGGAGCTCGTTTCCTTACCATCTTGGAGACAATCCAAGATCCAGGTGCCAGAGTGCAGTGTTTAACTTGCTACACATCTTGTTGCATCCTCACACATTTGGCAGAAAATAAATAGGTAAGAGAACAAAATAGCAACACAAAGCTATTTTAAGAGATTTAACTCCATCAGAAAGGAATGAAGCCTCAAGGTCTGACCACCTCTTAAATGCTTCACTTCTCAATACTGCCTGTCGATTGGCAACACTTGAACTTTTGAGTATCATCCAGTCTGTAGAGAGACAGCACAAGACAAGGTAGAGGAATTTGTTTCTGTCTGATTTAGGATGCTGATTTTTTGCCCCAGAATATTGGCTCTCCTGGTTCTCAGAAATAACCTTTGACCAGGACTTATAGCTATGACTCCAGATTACATATGATAGATTGTAGGACTACTTCTTCCTCTCAGATAACTAATATATTAGAGAAACTTGAAACTTATTTTCATTCTTACAACATACATTTGGAGGTAGACAGTTTAGAAACAACAAAACAGTTCTATAAACTCAAGAGGAACCCAAATCTCTGAAGTCATCTGTTCTTCCATCACTATGCAAACCTTTATCTGTTTCCTCTACATGACAGATTTATTATTAATGGAAAGTTAGATATAACTTCTAAAGGTCTTTGTGGTCATTTATAATTGGGAAAGATGCTTTGTTTCCACTCTGTGGAATTGAAGCTAGGCAGCTAATAAAGACAATGATCTTATTAACTACACCAAGAAAGTGACTGGCTCTTTATGTTAGAACTCCAATAACTCAGACTCTAAGATCAAGAATTGATAAATGGGATCCCAAGAAACTGAAAAGCTCTGTAAGGCAAAAGACATAGTCAATA